CAGGAACCGTGCAAGGCCCGAGCTGGGCAGCTGGCCGCCTCCTGGGGGTTCCACGAGCTGGAGGTGGGGGGCGCTCGGTAGGAATCTTGCAAAGGCGGAGCCTATGGTGCGGGTGGGCTCCGGGGAGGGACTTGGTGGGAGGGAGTTGGGAGGTAGGAAAACGGCTTCCGTCCGGGCTTGGCGCCCGGAACTGGAAGCATCTGAAAACAGGGTGGAGCTTGAGGGTCCGGGGCGGAGCCTCGCCCGGTCGCGCCCCTTTGCACCACGCCCACCCCTCACCCCGCCGCTTCTGCTGTCCCCCTCCCCTCCAGGAGGCCAACTACTATGGGTCTCTGACTCAGGCGAGCACTGTGAACCTGGGCATGGACGCTGATGGCCGGGAGGTGTTCGTGCCCTTCAACTCGCTGCTGCCCATGGTGGCAGCCAACGACCTGGTGTTTGATGGTGGGTGGAACCGGGAGGTGGGGCGGCCGGTGGGGGGGTCTAAGGGGGCCGAGGATCAGAGCAGGGATGAGCGGAAGGATCCTCCCCAGGCTGGGACATCTCGTCGCTGAACTTGGCCCAGGCGATGAGGCGCGCGCAGGTCCTGGATTGGGGACTTCAGGAACAATTGTGGTCTCACATGGAGACCATGCGCCCTCGGCCTTCTGTCTACATGCCCGAGTTCATCGCGGCCAACCAGAACACACGCGCGGACAACCTCATCCCGGGCACGCGCGCCCAGCAGGTGCCGTCCCATCCCGCAGCCCTCACCACCTGTTCCCCGCGTCTCTCCCTCCCGATCTTTCCTTTTGCTTCCTGTCTGCATTCTGCAAATCCAGATCCCACTTTGCACTTTGGAAACTGAGTGGCTTAAGGACCAGTTTAACCTCCCTCTACCCCCACTCCCACCCCCAGCTAGAGCAGATCCGTAAAGACATCCGCGACTTCCGGTCTAGCGCAGGGCTGGACAAGGTCATCGTGCTGTGGACGGCGAACACCGAGCGCTTCTGCGATGTAGTCTCGGGTCGCAACGACACGGCTGAGAATCTCCTACGCACCATCCGGGTGCGTGTGCCTCCCTCTCCCTGGGAGCGGGGCGGGGTGGAGTCGGGGCAATCCTGTAGGCTCTTGGCCACGACTGAATGCCCTTCCACACCCGCAGCTTGGTCTGGAAGTGTCGCCGTCTACACTCTTTGCCGTGGCCAGCATCCTGGAGGGCTGCGCCTTCCTCAATGGGTCCCCGCAGAACACGCTGGTGCCCGGCGCACTGGAGCTCGCTGCGAAGCACCGCGTTTTCGTGGGTGGGGATGACTTCAAGTCAGGCCAGACTAAGGTCAAGTCTGTCCTGGTGGACTTCCTCATTAGCTCTGGCCTCAAGGTGTGTGGGCTGGTGGGGGCTGGGTGCAGACTGGGTGGGGGACTGGAACCCCCAGAGGCTGGCATGCGTGCTGCATTATCCTTGTACCCGTAGACCGTGTCTATTGTGAGTTACAACCACTTGGGCAACAATGATGGGCAGAACCTATCGGCGCCACAGCAGTTCCGATCTAAGGAGGTGTCGAAGAGCAGCGTGGTGGACGACATGGTCCAGAGCAACCCCGTGCTCTACAAGCCGGGCGAGGAGCCCGACCACTGCGTGCGTGGGGGATACAGTGGTGGAGGGAGGAGCTCCTGGCTGGGGCTGGCAGGGACTCTCCTGACCTCTTGTACGTACCCCAGGTGGTCATCAAATATGTCCCGTACGTGGGTGACAGCAAGCGAGCGCTGGATGAGTATACGTCGGAGCTGATGCTGGGTGGGACCAACACGCTGGTGCTGCACAACACGTGCGAGGTGCTTGGGGATGCTGAAAGCCTGGGTGTTGTCCTCCTGTCCTGTTCGCCCCGCCCCTGACCCGCCCTCCTGCTCGCCCCGCCCGCCTCCAGTCCTGCCTTCAGACCCGCCCATCCTCGCCCCGCCCATCCCGTTAGTCCCGCCTCCTGACCCGCCCATTCTGCTCGCCCCGCCTTCTCACTCGTCTATCCTGCCCACTTCCCTTCCTGACCCGCCCATTCTGCCCGCCCCGCCTCCTGTCCTGCTCAGCCTGCTGTCCTATCTTCTGACCCGCCCATCCCGTTAGTCCCGCCTCCTGACCCGCCCATCCTGCTCGCCCCGCCTTCTCGTCCATCCTGCCCACCTCCTTTCCTGGCCCGCCCATCCTGTTTGCTCCGCCTCCTGACCGACTGCCTGGTTCCTGCAGGACTCGCTTTTAGCCACGCCCATCATGCTGGACCTGGTGCTGTTGACCGAGCTGTGCCAGCGCGTGACTTTCTGCACTGACACCGACCCCGAGCCTCAGAGCTTCCACTCGGTGTTGTCCCTGCTCTCCTTCCTCTTCAAGGCCCCGCTGGCGCCTCCAGGCAGCCCGGTGATCAATGCGCTCTACCGCCAGCGCAGCTGCTTTGAGAACATCCTCAGGTGTGTCCCGATCTCGGGGTTCCTGCTTGTGGGCCAGATGCACCCTCATGGAGGTGTGCAAAGGGACTAGGGACTTCAGGGCCGGGGGGCGGGGGGCCCTGGCCATGCTGAGCTTCTCCCCTGCTCCCCAGGGCCTGTGTGGGGCTCCCACCGCAGAACCACATGCTCCTGGAGCACAAAATGGAGCGCCCAGGCCCAGGCCTCAAGCGAGTGGGCCCTGTGTCGGCTCCCTGCCCCGTGCCCTGCAAGAAAGGACAGGCACCCGTTGCCCCCAACTGCTGCACCGGCGATGCCAACGGACACCCGCAGGCGAAGGCATCCTAGATGCCCACTTTCTGAGTCGGAGGTCACTCAGCTTCCGGACCTCCTCCACCCCCCAGGTGTCACTCCTTGTGATCTAACCTTTCCAGACCTCCCTCCCCGTGCATCAAATAAAGCTCATGCCCCTATCAGCCAAACCACCTGTGAGTTCTTGGCAAGCTTCTGTGATTCCTGGTACCTCCTGCTACCACTCCTCTTTATTTTTATTTTTGAGAGAGATTTTGGCCATAGGGCACGCGTGCTAGACAGAGAGCCAGAAATCACCCCCTTGGGATGACCATGTCGCAATCCCTTCTCCATTCTCTCAGGATTTTGGACGTGCACACACACACCTCTGGCCTTCAGTTTTAATTCACCGGGGTCCTGGACTTGGAGCACGGGCTGATCACATGGGAGGCCAGCAATGTAACCATTAGACCGTCTTCTCGTCCCCTCCCCCACCTTATTTTTTAAAGAGGTTTCTGCCTTAGGGCATGTGGCCACAGTGAGAAGAAAAGTGAAAAATCATTCCCCAGGAGGGATGGCCATTCTACAATCCCTCCTCCATTCTCCATCTGGGATCCCCGGTGTGCGCGTGCGCAGTCCACACCCGCTGTGATTTTTTTTTTTTTTCAAGCTACCAGGTCCAGGTCTTGAACCACAGTCAACCACGTGGGAGTCCAGCGACTAACCACTGCATCATCGGCTCGTCCCCTCACCCCCTTTTTTCATGAGTTGGCCTCTTATCCACCATTCACGGCTTTTGCCCCTAGTCCCGGGGAACCCCCTTCCCAGGATCCCTGGGTCACCCCTAGTCCTTGAAGGACCGGCCACGGGCTGCAGAAAGAGGGGTCCTGGCTGCAGGCTCAGGGAGGGGATCTCAGACCAGCTACCAAAAACCAAAACCAATTACATTTATTGATGGGGCCCACCCCCTGCCGTCTTGGGGAGAGGGATCCCCCAAAGAACACCTCCCCCACACCCCGCGAAAATACAAATGGCAGAAAGGGCCCATTCGGGAAAGAACGTCTCTGAGGTCCTTGTGTGTTTTTATAAAATGAGAGAAAAGTCCTTCGCGCGGGCTTCGCAGCCCTGCAAGCCTTGGTCGGCCAGGAGTCCCGTTTACCCGAGGTGTGACCTCAGCCCCTAGCCCCCCGGGAGGGGGCGCTAGGCAGAAGCCGAGGCCGGCAGGGGGTAAGGGGCTACCGCCCCATCACACGCTCATGGTCATTCCTGGTGAGTACTGCGGAGAGAGGAGGAGGTGGCGCGCGGGGGGG